TTTACTGAAACTTGGTTTTTAACCCTCAAAAAATAGGGAGCTTTATGTATGATTAGAATAAAGTAAATTCCTGCTTCTTACACTCTTGTGTTTGTGGATTAGACACACCACCTGTAATTCATTGCTACAAATAATGTGATTCACTACGTAATACTGGGAGAAACGAATTTGTATTTTTGGAGGTAAACATTTTTGCTGATGCCGGTAGTAAAATAGTGCTTCTCAAACTTTATTGTCCATATCTATCACCTGGAGATTCTATGAAAAATACAGATTTCTGATCCAGTAAGGTAGAGGTGAAGACTGAAATTCCTAATTTTCAATCAGCTCCAAGGTGATGCTGATGCTACTGGTACAGAAGCTACCTTGAAGTAGGGAGGCTGTCTAAAATACTGGTAAGATGACTGTGCTATGTAGGTTTTTGATATATGTTAGCTACATTTTCTTAAATAAAATATAGTTTGGTAGGGTGGTGGCTACCAAATTGTAACAAAAGAAAGCTTCTTCAGAATCAGTCAACTAAGAGCAGGAAATGTGGAAAAAAATATAATGCTGGGGATGGAGTTGTAGCTCAGCGGTAGAGCATTCGCCTTGCACTTGCGACACCCTGGGTTTGATCCTCAGCACCACGTAAAAATAAATATAAGTGAAATAAAGGTATTGTGTCCAACTACAGCTAAAAATAAATAGTATATAGATATAATGCCAACTTTATGGGTTTTACATGTTTCATTCAACTTTTGTAATACTTAAACATTATGTGTAAATGATTAAACAAATTTTGAATGTCAATTGAACTTGGTCATGAGAATTGTAAGTCTTGTAAGAGTTTTTGAATACCTTAATATGAATGTATCTTCCAATTTTTAATATTATTATCCTGAACAGACATGTGAGTGGCAGACAAAATGAATATTTGTTAAAATATCTAATTTAAATCAAAAGGTAAATAATAGGGCTGAGGATGTGGCTCAAGCGGTAGTGCGCTCGCCTGGCATGCGTGCGACCCGGGTTCGATCCTCAGCACCACATACCAACAAAGATGTTGTGTCCGACGAAAACTAGAATATAAATATTAAAAAAACTCTCTCTCTCTCTCTCTCCTCTCTCACTCTCTCTTTAAAAAAAAAGGTAAATAATATAAATGTTAGCATATTAAACAATATTATCATTTTTTTCAGATTATAAAAATGATACTTGGCCATTTTAAAGAATTTGGAAAATACAGAAAAATACCAGGAAAGAAATAAAATCTTTGGTAATCTCAGCAGCCAGGGTTAACCACAACAACTTGGTATTTTCCCTCCAAGTATTTTTTTTTGGGGGGGGTACCAGGGATTGAAGCCAGGGATGCTTAATCACTGAGATACACCCCCAACCCTTTTTAAAAATATTTTACTTATAGGGTCTCACTAAGTTGCTTAGGGTCTCCCTAAATTGCTGAGGCTAGCTTTGAACTCAACATTCTCCTGCCTCAGCCTCCTGAGCCACTGAGATTAAGGGTAGAATGTGTACATCCTGCTTTTTTTTTCATTTACTGTCTCAGGTGCATTCTGCTATGTTTTTAAGTGTTCTTTGAAGGCACAGRTGTTTAAATAGAGCTTTAAATAGTGTTTAAATCAAGCACAGAGTGCTTAAGTCATGTTAGAATAGATGATATTCTATTATTATGGGTACTATAAATGTTAACTATTTCTCCATTTGGGGCTTTTATTTCTAATTTTTTGTTGCTAGAAAATAACACAAGCAACACATTGTATATATTTTAGAAATTGAAATCTGACTATTTTCTAGGAAACAGAATTCCCAGAATATCACAGTATTACCCAGTAAAAGGATCTGGACATTTTAATCTTTAAACTCTTGAAACCTACTGCAAAATGAAATGTGTAAACAGTTTGAAGTCTATGAAAGTGCCTATTCCATTACCTCTACAGCAGTCCTGGATATTGGCATAAGAAAAAAAAAAAAAACTTCTATAATCTTTGCTAATGTTGTGGGACTCAAACCTATGCATTTATAGTATAAATTCTTATCAATTAATTTCCACTTACCCAATTACTAATCTGATTCACCATTTCTTCAGTAAAGAACTGAGAATTGAAAGGCTGAGTTAATGTAACTGGTTGTCCTCTCTGGATAGCTCCATCTCTGATTTGTGGATGAGTTGTCAACTGTGTCCATACAAACATATTCAATCCAGTTATCTTTGTCATTATAGAAGTATATAATTTAGGGGCTGGGATTGGGGCTCAGCAGTAGAGCACTCACCTAGCATGTGAGAGGCCCKGGGTTCAAACCTCAGCACCACATATGAATAAATAAATTAAATAAAGGTATTGTGTCCAACTACAACTAAAAAATTTTTTTAAGTACATAATGAGATGTTATATAAAACATTAAAAATGAACTTAAGGGTTTCCTCCCCCCCTTTGCAGGGCTGGGGATCAAATCCAGGGCCCCACCTATGCTAAGCAAGCACTCTAGTACTGAGCTACACTCCTAGTCCTCAAACACGTTCATATGAAAAGAAAGTTGAACATTTTATAGAACTCTCCAAGGCAAATGGCTCATATAAATTGCTACTGAGTTAGATGTGAAAATCATATGTAAATCAGGAGGAAAGCATAACAGTATGGATTCTGCACTCAGAATCCTTTGTAAATGCTTTAAATTTACGCTCCACTTTAAAGAAACCAGAATTGGGGGCTGGGGTTGTGCCTTGGAGGTAAAGCACTCACCTAGCATCCRTGAGGCACTGGTTTGATCTTCAGCACCACAAAAAAATAAAGGGTTATCCACCATGCAGCCAGCGCAATGGTTTCATTAATGAGGTTCTTGGCATAAAAGTTAGCTAGATGAGATCGAAATAAAACACACAGACTCAGTTACCTTATTTCTATTGCCARGTCCGAGACGGCTCCCCTCTCTGGTTCCCTCCTCTAACCGCCCAGCAGGGCAGCAAGGATTACTCAGGGCTAGCAGGAGAGAGAGAATGAATACGCCTGGGAGTAGCTTTTTATTGGGGAACAAGAGATTCAGGGGAGAATTCCATCCAATGAAGGTTGAAGGGGGACCGCACTCCAAGGTCAGGGTCAGTGATTGGGCCCCCGGGGTCAGTGGTCAGGCACACCCCCACACGGATGGGCTCTCTCATCAGGAGAGGGCTAGGAAAGTTCCATCAGCCAGAACGCCTCAGACCCTTAACGGGAGCCGCCCAGTCACGTGTAAGGATGGCTTCCCACAGGGTTAAAATACAAAAGGTAAAAACTAAAGGTGTTGTGTCCACCTACAACTAAAAAATATTGAGATAGATAGAGAGACTAGAATTGGAAATCTTCTATCAGTGGTTCTCAATAGGGCAGTACTGACCCCTAGGGGTTATTATGGAAACTTGGACATTTTCAGTTGGTTTCACTACTGGTTTCTGGTGAATTGGGAGCAGGGATTTTGGACATCCAGCAATGGCCTGCACAGTCTTGGGAAGTCCCACTGAATATAGAAAACAACACAACCCTATTTCTTCTTCTCAAGGAGTTGAAGTATAATTCCCCCATACGTGTGGGCTTCCTTTCAAAGAGTACAGAAAGGGGATGGGTGAATAACTGTGTTGGAGAAACTTGACAAGCATCATCTCATCCATAACTTCCCCCCAAATTCTTTGGGGCTTTGGGGAGGTAATTAGGCTATGAGGGCAGAGCCTTCTTGAATGGTGTTTTGTTACTGGGGATTGAACTCAGGGGCACTCAACCACTGAGCCACATTCCCAGCCCTATTTTGCATTTTATTTTAGAGTCATGATCTGAGTTGCTTAGTGCCTCGCTGGTTGCTGAGACTGGCTTTGAACTCATAATCCCCCTGCCTCCACATCCCAAGCCAAAGGGAATAGTGTTCTTGTTTTTAAATATTTTTTGGTTGCAGTTGACACAATACCTTTATTTYATTTATTTATTTTTATGTGGTGCTGAGGATCGAACCCAGGCGCTCACAGTCTAGGCTAGCCACAACCTCAGCCCAGGAATAGTGTTCTTTTAAAAGACATAAGAGATGATTTCTCTTGGCARTGTGAAGACACAGCAAGAAGTTGCCTATCTACAAGCCAGGAAAGGGATCCTCACCTAGCCCTGGGTCAGCTTGCTGGTGCTTTATCATGGACCTCTCAGCCTCCTAAACTGTGAGAAATAAAATGTTTGTTGTTTAAGCCTTCTAGTCTATGGTATTTTTGTTGTAGCAGCATGACCTAAAACACAGTGTTAAGCAAATCCTAGTCAAAATACTGTGTGGGGAGACCACAAATGATTACTGTTCACCCATCAGCTCAATATTCAAACCACCTGTATAATAATGGAATTCCAGCCTCAGCCCTGTAGGGCTCATGGGCCATGATTCCACACTGACCTTAAGCCACAGTACCACTGTCTAATCATAGAAGAAAACTTCTTGTCCTCTGGTTTGCTTTTTCCTGTCACACTTGTCAGGAAAGTTAATTTGGAGGTGAATTGTTCTAATCCCTAGGAAGGCCTGCTTATACAATATTTTTTTAATGCATATAGGAATGAAATTAAGAAATAAACAGGAACTGTCTTTGGCAAGATTTATTTAGCAAGTAGAGAAATCTTCTATTCCTGGAAATAAGGTTTGAAGTTATTGAATTTATGAATCTAAGAGGGCTTCCATTTGACAATTGTAGCATTCAACACTGAAACTGGTTTTCTTAAGTTTCTATGACTCACATTTTGATATCTGATTTTTCTTCTTTGTGTACTTTCCTGCCACAATCCTTTATTCCTTATTTCCTTTCCTCTTCCCACCCTTCTTTTTTTTATGATTTTATTCTTGTAATTCCCACCTTCTTTACCTATACAAACTACCTGGTTAACAGGCTGTATACAATTGTGACTATTCCCAGTTCAGAATGACCTTGCAAGCCATTTCAAATCCTTTCAGTTCTAAGGACAGCCTTTTGGAAGAACTTGATTGAAAGAAGTTTACAAATTGAATGGTCTTATCTAAAATTTTATTTCAGCTATTTGTTTAAATTGCTCATACAAATTACATTTCATCTAAAAAGGAAATATAAAGTGTTTCTAGCAGTGCAAGAATAATTGGCATGGCCTATCCAAAGGTCTTCCCCTACAGTCTACAGAAAATCTAAACCACAAACTGGATGTTTTTATTCTCTGGGCCATAAGACATTTTCAAAATCACTATGATTTTTTGAAATCTAGCAAACCATCAATCATAGGAGGGAAGACTACAGAGCTGATTTCTGATAACTAAGTTATGCTACCAGTGAGTATAATGTGATTACTAGAAGCATAAAGACCATGGGATAGGGAAGACTCCTTGTGAGTTGGGTATCACCCATGCAGGAGTAATTGTGTGTAGGGTAGCCTGTCTTATAGACTTCTAAGCTTCCACCTTCATTGTGGTACTCAGGCCCAAGAATTAAGAGCACAGTGTGCAAACTCACTGAAGGTTTTACAATAAGATACTAGTGCAGAAGGCATGGTAAGGAATTTTGAGGCATAATCTAAATATAAAAATAATAATGAGATCTTGAGTACTTGAGCCTATTCATATTGCCTTCAATTCATTATATTTTACATGTGTTATGGTTTAGATATGAGGTGTCCCCCAAAAGCTCATGTGTGAGACAATGCAAGAAAATTTAGAGGTGAAATGACTGTAGAGCCTTAACTAATCAGCGTATTAATAATTCACTGATATGGATTAACTGGGTGGTAACTGTAGGCAGGTAAGGTGTGGCTGGAAGAGGGAAGGGATGTTCCTTTGGGGTTTGTCTTTTGTTGCTGGTGAGCAGAGCTCTCTCTGCTTCCTGATTGCGGACCGAGCTGCTTTCATCTTCCACACCTTTTGGTCATGATGTTCTATCTCACCTTGAGCCCAGGGCAATGAAGTTGGTCATCTATGGACTGAGACCTCTGAAACCATGAGCACCAAATAAAACTTTTCCTCCTCTAAAATTGTTGTCATGTCTTTTAGTCATAGCAGCAAAAATGTTAACTAAAACAACATGTCTAGCCTTAATACTAGAGTATTAAGTGATGTACAGTATATTATAGCTTAGTCTGAGGCATGGGTACCTAGTAAATATTATTCCCTCCCTCCTCCCCAATCCCAAATAAATGAGGTTAGTCCTTGATCCTTAAAAGTATTTTAAATAAAAAAGAAATTAGTTTTTCTATCAGTATCCCTGTCAGCATGATTCTGAATTGCTCTCAAGAGAACCTTCTCTTTTGTAAAATAAACACTTTATACTGTTTGAAGTACACATGAAGATTCATTTTTGTTCAGTGTTCTTTACTTTCCATTGTGAAAAGTTATTTCTGAGGAACTGAAACCCCAGAAGATAACCACCACAAAAAAATGATAAATGTTTCTTTTTCAAAAGACGATGATTCAAAGGCAGACCTGAAGAAAAGTAATATTTAGGAGACAGAAGGCAGCAAATGCAGCCTCTAAAGGGAATTGTTATAATTATTGCCTAAAAAGTAAAGTTACAGAACTACATTCAAGGTCATAAGATAAAGCACTACTTTAAAACTAGAATGATCACTTAGGTGGAAAAACACAGCTGAAAAAGGAAAGTGAAATAGACTAAAGAATAATTTGAACTGGAACAATGATCCATCAGTTGTAGATGCTTCTGGTATCTGATATCTTGAGTCTTTTTGTTTCCTTCCGTATCGCCATCTTCACTGACATCTTAAAAGGAGCATTCTCATGAACTAATAGTTGCTGCTATTTTGTTTGGATTCAAAATTTCAATCCAGTAACCATCAGGATCTTGAATAAATGCCAGACCTTTCATTTTACCTGTAAATTAAAATTTTTCATTACTGGAAAAACTCAAAAAAAAAAAAAACATCAAACAAACAAAAACCTTGTAAATTAAAAATAGTTTTATCAGGCTGGGGTTGTGGTTCAGTGGTAGAGAGCTTGCCTAGCATGTGTGAGGCACTGGGTTTGATTCTCCGCACCACATATAAATAAAGGTACACTGACAACTAAAAAAAWTTTTTTTTTAAAGTTTTATTAATTCAAATTTTAATTTACATTTTAAAATACACTATTTTGTCTGTAGATTTTTAAAAAAATTTTAGTTGTCAATGGACCTTTGTTTTTATTTATTTATATATGGTGCTGAGAATGGAACCCAGTGCCTCATACATGCTAGGCAAGTGCTCTACCACTGAACCACAACCACAACCATATTTGTAGTTTTAATTTTTTTTAAGTTGTAGATGAACACAATATCTTTATTTGTTTATTTATTTTTATGTGGTGCTGAGAATCGAACCCAGGGCCTCACACCTACAAGGCAAACATTCTACCACCGAGCTACAGCCCCAGCCCCTGTAGTTTTATACTTTTAAAAAATTCTATAATGTGGGGCTGAGGATACAGCACAGAAGGTAGAGTGCCTGCCTCACATGTACAAGGCCCTGGGTTCAATCCCCAGCACCAAAAAAAAAAAAAAAAAAAAAAAAAAAAAAAAATTCTATTTTGTGTGCTCACTTTGGCAGTACATATACTAAAAATTAGAATGATAGAGATTAGCATAGCCCCTGCACAGGAATGATATGTAAATTTGTGAACTATAATTTATTTTTTAAAAGAAATTCTATATTGTGCTGGACCACCTGTAATCCCAGCAACTCAGGAGGCTGAGGCAGGAGGATCAAAAGTTTGAAGCTAGCCTGGGCAACTTAGTGAGACCCTGCCTCGAAATAAAAAATTAAAAGGGCTATTAATGTAGCTCAGTTGTAGAGCACTCCTGGGTTTAATCCCCAATAGCATAGAAAAAATTCTATCTTGTCAGTGTTGCCCAAATTTATGTTTTTCATAATAACTAAAATGTTATTTTCCACACACAGCTGAAAACAAGCTCTCCTAAAATAAACCATGGGACTGAAACATCTGTTAGGTATCAAGTGTTTACCTCATCTTCATGATACAGTTCATAATACCAATTCAGCAGTCACAAATAATAATAATGTTAGTATTATTTTGGGGTACCAGGGATTGAACCAAGAGGTGCTTAACTTCTGAGCCACATCCCCAGCTTATTCTTTTTGTTTGTTTGTTTGTTTATTTGTTTGTTTTTTTGTCTTTTTGAGATAAGGTCTTGCTAAGTTGCTCAGGTCCTTGCTAAATTGCTGAGGCTGGCTTTGAAATTGTGATCCTCCTGCTTCAGCCTCCCAAGATGCTGGGATTACAGGTATGCACCATCGTGCAAGTGCCATTTATTTTTATTTTTATGTACCCAGGAGTGAACCCAGGGGTGTTTACCACTGAACCCATCCAAAGCACTTTTTTTTTTTTGTATTTTATTTTAGAGTCAGGATCTTGCTGAGTTACTTAAGGCCTTGCTTAGTTCCTGAGGCTGACTTTGAACTCACGATACTCCTGTCTCAGACTCCTAAACAGCTGAGATTACAGGCACGCACCAGCCCCACATTATTTTAAAGATGAAAATAGGAAGGTGCTTAAGAGAGCAGATAGTGTGTCCTACCTACACAACCAAAAATATCTACAGACTTGAGTCACATAAATCTGACAATCAGATTCTTTCTCCCAGAAATTCGTAACTGGGATGGAAAGGCTAACAGGTCAGAGTTGTTTGCTTACATGTAAAAATGTAACCTGAGAAATTTATTTTGGGACCAAGATGCTGAATTGATTTGACTCCTTTCCCTGGATGCTTTCTCCAAGGCTAACCCAAAAGGATACAAATGGAAAACATTGGGGAGAAAAGTGAGGATTTCAGGGGGGATGGATGAGAAGAACAGGGGGAAGCGGGGTAGAGTGACTATTTTAACCTAGTCTCTGTGGGTCAGACCAGAAGGAAGTACATTACAATTGTGGGAGAATAAGCAGGAGTTTTGCTTTTGCTGCCCTCAGCACCTGGGGCATGGGCACCTGCCCTTACACTTAGGGGCTCAAACCATTGGTTAAGAGCCTTGGGATTAAATAAGGATGGCACAGAAAACTTATGCTTATGAGGACCTGAGAAAGGGACTACCTCATCTCCCTACCCACTTCCACATGCCCCGGGGTAGGGAATGACAATCTCAGAAGGGTTTCCTACTAATACTGCTTTTCCCTTAGGGACAAAGTTGGAAAGAGTTGTTGTGGGGCATGTAAAGAGTTTGATTCATTTCCAGGTTCCCAGGAATTTCAGCCCTGGCTTACCCTGCCCATTTTCTTAACATCGTTCAGGTTGTTAAGGACAGGACTTCCTCTATTCACGCTATACGAGGGACTGAAATAGCAAACAACTGTAGGTGTGTGTGTGTGTGTGTGTGTGTGTGTGTGTGTTTGTAAGTTTAGAGGTCAAAATAACAAGAATTTAAAGAACATAACAATTGAATATATGTATGTGTATATGTGTGTGTATATATATATATATATATATATATATTTTATGTTTTATATAAAATTATAGCTGGGCATGGTGGCACATGCCTATAATCCCAGCAGCACAGGAGGATGAGGCAGGAAGATTGCAAGTTCAAAGCCAGTCTCAGCATTTTAGTAAGGTTTTGCTGAGTTGCTGAGGGCCTTATCTCCCAACACGATGAAATATTAGGACAATATGGACCAAAAATTATTAAAACATGTAAAATTGATGGACAATATGAAATAATATTACCAACATGAAACAAGAACAAGAAAATATTAAAGGAACCAAGCAAAAATAAGGAACCAAAAAAAATAATAGATTAAAAACACAATAGTTGAGGGCTGGGGATGTGGCTCAAGCAGTAGCGCGCTCGCCTGGCATGCGTGAGGCCCAGGTTCGATCCTCAGCACCACATACAAACAAAGATGTTGTGTCTGCCAAAAACTGGAAAATATATATTAAAAAATTCTCTCTCTCTCCTCTCTCTCTCTCTCTTAAAAAAAAATAGTTGAGTTAAATAGCAGAATAGATACATTTGGGGAATAATTAGTTAACTGGTATATCAAGTTTGAGGAAATATTATCAGTTTGAGAAAGACGGCATAGTAATGAAGAATATAAAAACTTCCAGAATAACACAGAATACACTATATAAAGAAACCCAAACAGATTGACAAGATATTTTTGAACTGTAAAACTATGCAAACCAGCAATGGAGTAGTATTTCAAGATTGAAAGAAAACAAACCTAGGATTTTCAACAAAACTGTGATTCATATAAAAAGATGATTCTTGGGCATACAAAGTCTCAAAAGTTTTGCCTCAAATACCTTTGGAAAACAGTTTTGGTTGAGGTACTCATAAAAAGGGACAAAAGGGGCTGAGACTATAGTCAGTAGTACTGTGCTTGCCTAACATATGGGTTTGCACCACATAAAAATAAATAAATAAAATAAAGGTATTGTGTCCATCTATAACTAAAGTATATATATGGGATATATATAAAATATATATGCATATATATATGGACAGAGAAATTCAAAAGATGCTACAAGAGATATATGCAGAAAAGATTTTCAAAATACCTTAATGTATTTAATGCTATTTTAAAAAATACCACAACCAAAGAAAAAGAAAATATGAATCAATAATATCCCAGTCTATGTAATGTGACATGATGGGGGTTGAGGGGAATAAGTTATTTTCTTATAGGGGAAGAGATATGGATGTTAAATATTTTAATTTTTAAAAAAAGGTTAAAATAAAATAATAAACATTTTAACTTAAAATAATAAATTTTGGGCTGGGGATGTGGCTCAAGCGGTAGCGCGCTCGCCTGGCATGCGTGCGGCCCGGGTTCGATCCTCAGCACCACATACCAACAAAGATGTTGTGTCCGCCGARAACTAAAAAATAAATATTAAAAATAAAATTCTCTTCTCTCTCTCTCTCTTTAAAAAAAAATAATAATAAATTTTGATGGCAGAAACAGATCCCAAGTAAAATAATCATAATACATGCAAATCAAACAAAACCCAGATAAATACTATTTCAAGAGACATACCTAAAATATAAGTACATACAAAGGTTGTAAAGTACTAAAAAAGAAATACTAGATAATAATTAACTAAAGAGACCTGGTATTGTTATGTTAATATCAAATAAAACAAACACATTTTTGTATTGGGGGAGGCAGTACTGGGGATTGAACCCAAGGGAACTTAACCACTGAACCACATCCCCAGCCCTATTTTGTATTTTATTTAGAGACAAGGTCTCATTGCCTTGCTTAGGGCTTCACTAAGTTGCTGAGGATGAGTTTGAACTGGCGATTCTCCTCCTGTCTCAGCCTCCTGCGCCGCTGGGATTACAGGTGTGTGCCACTGCACCCAGCTTAAATTTATTTTTGGATGACCCCAGTTAAACCCTGAGATAGTGAAAGGTGGTGGCCAAAGAGAGAATGTGACAGGGTTATAGGGTGGGAAAAAGAGCCTAGGTGTTTTTTTTTTTTGTTTTTTTTTTTTAATATTTATTTTCTTAGTTTTCGGTGGACACAACATCTTTGTTTGTACATGGTGGTGAGGATAGAACCCAGGCCGCACGCATGCCAGGCGAGCGCGCTACCACTTGAGCCACATCCCCCAGCCTAGGTTTTTGATAGCTCTCCAGATCCTGTGTCTAGTCCCTTGTGAAGCCACCCTGTCTTCCATTTCCCTAAGATAACAAGGTATTCTAATAATTTTCCTTCTTGCCTTAAGYTGGCTGATGTCAACTTCCATTACCTGTAGCCCCAAAAGGATTTTACTGTAACCGTGCCCTCTGTGGATGCTTATAAATATTATTTAATTAAAGAAAGGCATGAAATCAGTAAGACTCACCATCATCAGGTTTCTTTACAAATTTAACTCCCAGCTCTTCAAATCTTTTACAAGCTCCATATACATCAGGAACAGCAATTCCAATGTGACCTTAGATGACACCCCACACACACACCAAAAAAAGAAAAAAGAAAAATACAGAGAGAAGAAAGATATAATTATACCAGGGTCTCCAAGTGCCATGGTAGCTTCTGAAACTTGTGTATTTCAAAAACATAACATTTGAAAGCAAACTGAGTCAACTAGGTTCAAAATCTCATAAAGAACAAATGTAGACTGACTAGCTGAGTATAATAGAATAATTATAAATTATATGATACTTAAAATAAACCAATACTACCTCACATATAGTTCTGTTAAGAATAATCTATACAAAAAAGAATCATGCTTAGTAGGTATGTTGTTGGCATTAACTATACAGTAGCCAACTGAAGTCTGTAATCCTGTCATCTTGAATTGACAAATTTTAAATCAAGACAGAAGGGCATACTAACAGAAATTGAGATTCTAATAACCATAGTTTTTTTTTAATTAAAAAGTTAACTGAAAATAGAATATAGAGACTTAAAAGTAAAACTGTTGTGAGTATATTTACTGTGAAATTATATAATTCCTAAATAAGATTCGTGGAAATAAAACATACCTCTAATAAACTGATTTTATTTGTTAACTAGGCCATGATATTTAAGGTTTACTATAATTTTAAGTATGGATCTCATGTAAAATCAACAAATCCACATTACATATAAACAGACAAACATACCAAATCCCCGAGGGTCTGAATTGCCATTGTGGTAACTCTGAGTCTCATCATTTTCAGTACCCCAATTGCTACAAAAGAAGGGAAAATATAACTTACAGTTCTGTTCTATAGAAAAGATTATATATATATATATATATATATATATTTTTTTTTTTTTTTTGGTATGAGGGATTGAACCCAGGGGTGCTTAATGACATCCCCAGCCCCTTTTTTTAATTTTGAGACAGGTCTTACTAAGTTGCTTAGGGCCTCACTAAGTTGCTGAGGCTGGTCTTGAACTTATAATCCTCCTGCCTCAGCTTCCCAAGGGAATTACATGCGTGTACCRCTGCACCAGGTTATAGAACTGATATTCTGAGAAGAAATCCCTGTCTTTAAACTCTTGCCATGTGTATATGCTACTCCACATACTTGGCCTAACCCCTGCTACTACAAATATCACATTTTCAACTGCAGAGAGTAATCATTAAAGTATGATTTTATGATTTTAATTAGATTAAGAAGATTTTAAAATCAGGCATCTGAATAAGAACAATAACAAAAATAACAACAACTATTATTTATTATCCTCAGCACTTTATATTTCATTTAACCCTCAAAACAGCTCCATGGCCCAGACTTGAATAGTTCCATTTTATAAATGAGCCTGCCACTTTAGGGAATTTTTCAGGGTCAATAGAATTAGTGTTAGTGCTTAAGACCCATATCTAGGCCTGTCTGATAGAAAAACTTTGTTTTAAATCAGATAYACATTAAATCACACATCTTAAAACAAATGTTCTTTTGGCAGTTGTTAAAGAGTACAGAAAAACAAAGTTAAAAAAATAATAAGGAAAAAGGGGGGAATACCTCTTTCTTTCTAGTTTTTTTTTTTTTTTTTTTAATGTGTGTATGTGTGTGGTGCTGGGGATTGAACCCAGGGCCTTGTACATGCAAGGCAAGCACTCTACCAACTGAATTATATCCCCAGCCCTTCTTCCTACATTTTTAAAGTGTTGAAATTATAAAAATACCTCCCAACCCATTTTATATTTTATGTTGAGACAGGGTCTTGCTATGTTGCTTAGGGCCTCACTAGGTTGCTGAGGCTGTGCTTGAACCTGCAATCCTCCTGCCTCAGCCTCCTTCATTGTGGAAATTACGGGCATGTGCCACAGGGCCTGGCAAACTATCTAAAAATTTTAATGTTAATTGTTACAAAAATGGTTTGATGACTTTTTAAGGGAACATATTATATAACATTTCTGGATCAAAAATGCAGCAAAACTACAAAAGAACAAAATTTTAAATGATGGATGATTTTAGTTGTAGTCTCTAAACATTAGTTAACTATAGTTTGGCAAATATCTTACTATTTCAGGGTCTTAAATTCTCTGAAAGACATTTACCCTATCTATACCATAAAACAAAGACCAGACRGGAAGATCCATATAAAAACACTCAAACATGTTGTAACAAATTGAATTAAACTGATAAATAAGCAAAAAAAAAAAAAAACAGTAACAAAAGAAAAAAACTTAAGAAAATCTAGAATACATAGAAAGATAAAAATATACTCACTGTGTCAGTTCAAGTGTAGCTTTTCTGGAGAATACCCATGCCATTTTTTCATTTTTATCTTTAGGAAAGTCATTTTTATCCTCATAAGCCAAGAAATAGAGTGAAAAATTCATAGTAGGAAAATCTAATTTTTGAATTAGCCTGAAATTAAATAAAACAAGACTAATTCATGAAGGAAAAGTTTATTCATACTAAAATCAACATAACCCAATACTCAAGTTCTATAAATAAGAGCTATGTATATAGGAAAACTATCTGAATGGAAAAAGCAAGAGAAAAAAATCAGTGAAAAAAATCTTATTTAAAAACACCTAATTGGGGCTGGGGATGGAGCTCAGTGGAAGAGTGCTTGCCTAACATGTGCAAGACCCTGGGCTCAATCCCCAGCACCACAAAAACAAAATAAACAAGGAAAGGACCATCAACCTCTGTAAATATCAAGGAAATATAAAAATAAAAGAAAACTTTTGTAATTCATCAGTCTTCAATTTTAATGAAATTTAATTGGAATTGCAGTGCTCGTTTATAAATGGAAAGAGATAATTTTGTTTCTTTTTATTGAACGATACAATGCATTACTCTATTCTTTCAAATATGCGCTATAGATATTTAAATATATACATTTAGTGAGTTCTTATTATGCCAGAATTTCTAGGAAATAAAATTGAGGACAGGTGGTATGAGAGAAGGAAAAATGACAGATTATTATCACAGAAGATGGGAACATCAACAATAAGATAAAGCAGCTAACAGTAGCAAATACTGCAAAAGGGTGAAACAGAAGTAAGACTAAGAGAAGGTCAAGAAATACAGCAAGGTCCTGTGAGAGCAGTTTCAACAGTGTAGAGCAGAAGCTGCATCTCATTGGACTTGGGAGAGACAGGGGCGGTGAGCTGGTAAAACAAGCATGGTCTCTCCATGAGGCAAGAAAGCAGGGCAACAATTCTTCTAGAAGGCTTAAGCATGTTTGTAGGATGAAAGGAAAGAGGCAGTGGGGAAGGAGACACTTGATATGAGAGAAACAGTGAATTCTGAGGTTTTAAAAAAGATAACTGAAGTTACAGCTTATAAAGTGAGTTTAAAGAATGTAGGATTATTTTGCAAGGAGCAGAATAGAATGAGAATGTATGTAATGCCATTTTCTTTCAATTACTGAGGATTAAATGCTCGAAGATGACCTGGTTCATAATCAACAAGTACAGATGGTTGAAGCACCTCAAAAGGAAAGTTGCTAGAGTTTGGCTCCAAATCTTTCATTTGATTATCACTGCTAGGTACATACCTTGGTCCAATCAGATCCATTATAGACTTACCACAAGTAAGATTTACTCCAATATGCTTATAATAAAGTATCAGACACCTCAAATAGTCTAATCATGACAAACTATCTTTGCACCTCCTGAAGTCAAGTGCACAAGCCTTACCCGCCAATCAGCTGGCAACTGAAACAAATGAACCTGCTGCAACTTGATTCTCCCCAGAGGAGGAAATCTTTAGGTCATTGTCAAGTTGCATCCTACTTGGGGGCTTTTTAAAATAAGGTCTACGCTGGGGATGGGGTTGTGGCTCAGTAGTATAGCATTTGCCTAGCATGTGTGAGGCACTGGGTTCGATTCTCAGTACCACATATTAATAAACAAATAAAATAAAGGTCCATTGAGAACTAAAAAAAAAAAAAACCATTAAAAAAAACAAGGTCAACACTGGAGTCAACTGGACATAGATTCAATTTCCAGCTCTGTCATGTGCCAACTGTGGGATTTGGGACAGCAACTTCCATCTTTAAGCTTTGCTTTTTTCACCTGCAAAAATGGGGATATGAGCTGCTCAAAGACCTACTGTAAAGACTAGAGGAAATAATGGGAGAAGTGCCTGGCAAATAGCAGGTGACCAATAAATCTGTGTTCATTATGCCCTTTAAATATGCCATAAACACATGCTGGACAAAATCAAAGAAACTGTAAGACCAGTTATCTTTAGGGAGGATGGGGGAAGGAAACTTATCATTTTTCATCTTATGTTTTTCTAAACTGGTTGGATTTTCTAAACAAACCTACTGTATTACTTAAATTATTTTCTCAATGTCGGTGGAGAGCATCTAGGCAGTAAATTAAAGATCATTTAATTTTATTCTTTTCATAAATTTTTTTTTTAGTTGTAGATGGACACAATACCTTTTTTTTGTTTATTTATTTTTACATGGTGCTAAGGATTGAACCCAGTTCCTCACATGTGCTAGGCAAGTGCTCTACCACTGAGCTACAACCTCAGCCCTAATTTTATTCTTTATGTATCTATAGGATCATAAACAAAAAACTCATGTTACTTAGGGGAAAAAGAAATCAAGGGAAAAAAATAAAACTATCAATTATACCACAATAAAGCTGGAGGGTTGGTGTAAATAAGTAAATATGCTTTAAGGATTAAAAGAGCAGTGGCTTTTACCTGTTCAGTAAAATAGAATGTAGTCTATAAAATTGGAAGAGGGCCAATTTTAAGTAAAACTATTCGTTTTCTGAGTAAAATGTCCTYATATATATGTTTTCTGAAGTTAACAATAGGCTAAAAGTGGTCAGAACATCAAAAAGGGACTGAATATTATTAAGGATTTAGCAGGCGGCTCTCAAATAGAAAAGAATTTGGAGAAAATGAAAGTATTTGTGCCTTTTGTTGCCACTAAGCCAGGCTGGAATAAAGAAAGGGAAGTTAATCTAAACCCCATTTATTCAGACCTCCTTACAGACTCCTTACCTAAAGAACTTTTGTTACTTTTCAAACAAACTACAATTTTTAAATAGGCCTGAAAGCATTACCTATATTGRCAAAGCTATATATTTAAACAATAAGGTTCCAATAAATGGTCTTACGTCATTCCAAGGACTCTAGTATAAAAATCCAATGACTTCTTAGGATCCTTAATTCGCAGCATGGTCTGTTGCAACAGAAAATCCTAAAGAAAAACAGAATATACTAAAAACCTTTAATTTTTACTATGCATTACCAACATTAATTGTGTTTTTTATAACAAGATACAGAAGGTCCACCATTGTAATACAATGAAAGAAAGAAAGAAAGAAAGAAAGAAAGAAAGAAAGAAAGAAAGAAAGAAAGAAAGAAAGAAAGAAACGAAAACACCTTTGTCCCTTTAGCCTACTATGAAAAACTGCCTGGAAACAGTTCCTATCACCTGCAAGCTCCTGTGGCTCTGCCCAGCAGAGCTTTTTTGTGCAGGTCCCAGTGTGGCAGCCTTGAAGTGCCAAGAAGTTTGTATCTTCAGGGTTACCCTCAACCAAGGGTATAGCAAAGACGTGGCTTTCTTGCTCCTTGGTGGGACAATTCTGAGGCATGCTCCACACAGTTACTCAGAGGGATGGAATCCCAGGTGCCCACAGTGATCACAAGCAAACACTACTGTAGGCCACCCTTCCCCAAACCACAGAGCTTTCTATGACCACCTCCCCAAGAAACTACTTACAACCCTTATTCTAGGCTGCCTTTCCACAAGCTGAACCAAGAATTTTTTTTTAAGAGAGAGAGAGAGAATTTTTAATATTTTTTTAGTTTTTGGCAGACACAACATCTTTATTTGTATATGGTGCTGAGGATCAAACCCAGCACCGYGYGCATGCCAGGCAAGCACGCTACCACTTGAACCACATCCCCAGCCCCCTGAACCAAGACTTTATTTGATGTTATAAATAAAGAATCTAATTGCTATAATATTTGTTGAGTGAATGCAAGAGAAATATGCTTCCTGAACCATTTGCAGGTAAYTATGTAAATTAGCAAAAAGTCACATGACCCTATACTCCAAAATAACTAAAAGGTAAAAAGCTACTGTCTCTAACACCTTTGTGAAACTATAATTTCCACATCAGGAAACAGAAGGCTTGACTGATAAAATGATAGTGCATATAAACTGATGGAAATAAGATCATTATTAGCATTAACAGTAACATTTGGCTTAGGGGTTTGTCTTTGTAAAAACTCGTCCCAGTTTTATAAATGCGAGGCTGATTCCAAATGATTAAATTAATTGTTCCAGCCTCCYGATTTTAAATTCAGGTCTCTTTTTACCATAGGTACCTTCCAAGACCATGTGTCAACCTTGTCAGTGTTCCCCAATAGTTTTATTCTGCTGTACCCATGGATGTGACAAAACGGGTCTGAAAACTCTCACTACTCTCTTTGCAGTTACCATCATCTCTCTCCTGTAACTCATATTACATAAAATACAAATGTAGGAGCTGGGGCTTTAGTTCAGTGGCAGAACGCTTGCCTAGCATGTGTGTGACACTGGGTTAGATTCTTAGCACCATAAAGGCATGCTGTCTACCTACAACTACAATTTTTTTTTTTTTTTTAAATACAAGTGTTACAGTTGAGGTTGTGGCTCAGTGTTAGAGTGCTTGCCTAGCATGTGTGAGGCCCTGGGTTAGATCTTCAGCACCACATAAAAATAAATAAATAAATAAATAAATAAATAAAGATATTGTGTCCATCTACAACTAAAAAAATTCTCATTTAAGACAAAACTAGCTTGAAAACTACTATATCTTATTAAAACCAACCTTAAATTAATATAAGAATTAAATTCTTTATTCATAGCGTATAATCACATACAAGTGAGCTGGCTCTGAGGTTCCATATTTCCAGAGCATTCTGATTGCTTTTCTCAGTCAGGAGCTGGCCTCCTAGAGGCCTCAGACAGTTAGTGTACAGTTGAGAAAGAGAAAAATGGCTCCCAGTATCTGGGCACTAGCTAGGCCTTGGTTCCCTCTTCACACAGCCACAAAAAACACCTACAGAGTCACTCTGTGGCTGCAATGAAGAGACCAAAAATAGAATTTATGGTTGTCTAAGCATAGATTAAAACAAGGCACCAAGAACAGTACCAAAACAACTCCCTCTCCCAAGTAATGTGAATAACTGCTGCTTCCCTGTCAATTACAATGTTTGCTGGGGGAGGACAACTCCAGAGAAATCTGTGTGCTTTTTCAGGCCAGACCAGAGGTGAGTTCAAAGGGTCTATTTGGCAGGCCTCCTTGGGGCAAGCTGTCCTCCCCAGCTAGACTTGGTGCTTGGCCAGGGAGTTGCAGGCAAAGACTAAATCCTAAAGAGGTCTCTGATTATTCTATCAAACATTAACTGTCAAGGGCTTTGCAGATGGAATTAAGGTTATTAGTGAGTTGGCTTTAAAACAGGGAGATTGGCCTAGATTATCTAGATAGGTTCCATGTAATCACATGAGACCTTAAAAACAGAGGAGAGAGGCAAGACGTATGAAAAGACGGAAGAGACATATGAAAAGGCAGCAGAAGAGAGGCRGGCAGCAGGGGAAGCCAGAGAGATGCCAAGGTGAGGTACAGGTGCTGGCTGTAAGATGCAGGGGTACAGATAGAAGGAAATAAAGACAGATCTCTTCCATCCCCACAAGGAACTCGGGACCTCACCCTACAACTGAAAAGGAATTGAATCCAGGGAACAATCTGAGTTTGGAAGCAGATTCTTGTGAGCCTCTAATAAGGAACACAGCCCTGTCAATACCTTCAGTTTAAGAGAGTGTGACCCATGTCAAACTTCTAACCTACAGAACTATGAGATAATATACTTCTCACCAAGCTGCATCCAATATTATTGGGTTTTTCTTTAGTATCATGAGGTCTTTCATTTCTCATGCAAAGAAAAGGAAAAAAATGCACAAATGTGAGAGGAATTATTTTTGAGAGGCAATATGGTTAAATGCTGGCTTTACAACTGAAACCTTGAGTAAATCAATACTTTCCTTGAACCTGCTTCCACATCTTTAAAATGAGGATCATTACAGTTTCTAGCTGTTGTGTTTGAGCTGAAATGTGAAGGGAATAATGCATGAAAGTGCTTAGCATAACACTGGGTCCAAAGCAAGCTACTCTGCTTACTATATGTCTTGCCGCTGCTGTTATTATAAAACAAACACCCAGAGTTTCCACTACTGACTATTGCTATTGATTCCCCATCTGTATTCTCCAGCCCATACCTCTAACTTCAGCTATGAATTTACACATCCTGCACCTACTCATCATTTCCACTTGGGTTAGAACATCAAATTCATTACAGCCCAAACAAACACTTCTTCCTATACTGCCAAGAGTCAACGTCTCAACTACCCCTTGATAGCCCAAGTCAGACACTTGAATTCTCCCTGATTCCTCCCTCAACATTCCTTCCCCAAACCAAGCACTCTATTTACCTGTCTGCTTAATCTCTCTTGGAATCTTTCTCCTCCTGGTCTCCCTAATGACCATTACCTTGCTCAGGTACTTACAAGTTCCTGCTTGGACAATCAACTGTTTCTTATAGGCTTACTTAAATGCAATTCAGAGTGATCCTTCTATAAGAAAAACCCATTTCTGGACCTAGCTCAGTGATAGGTACTTGCCTAGTGTGTAAAGCCCTGTGTTCAATACCCAATACCCCACCATCCAAAATAAATCAATCCTTCAGTAGTTTTTCAACACTTTGGGAAAAAGCAGCATATATGGTTACTGTATAAGTCTTTAACCTCATCTTTTATCTCAAGCATTTACAATTTCATACCTTATCACTTAAAAATGGGTGTACCCCCCAATAAATGTGTATTTATTTTAATTACATACTTGTCTAATATACCAACATGAATATACCAGTATGACACTGGGTTGGAGTGTGGATAAGCATCAGAGCATATGCTTAGCACACATAAGGTCCTGAAAACAAAAAATATAATATATAGTATATAAATAAATATAAGATATAAATATATATGTATAATATAAATATATAATACAAATACACTATTTGCCAAGTAGAAATTTTTATAGGTGAGAAAACAAGGAAACATATTAAGAGTCCTCAATTTTTCTTTGCATCTCCCAAGTGAGTATTTTGTATATTTCAACTCCCACTACCTAAAACTTCATTCTCTGCCTCAGTTCACTGATGTCATTGTGTTTTTATATATACTGAGTCTAGAACAGTTAGCCATCTATCCTGCCATTGTCCCTCTTTCTTCTTCCTGTTCATTACTCTGCATCCAACTCTACCTGGTTACCTCCTTAATTAACAAAACTCAGTTCAAGTGTCACCAACACTGAACATTTCCTTGGATACCATGCCCTACCAATCAGATGAGACACATTAAAAATAATAATTATATATATATATATATATATATATATATAGAGAGAGAGAGAGAGAGAGAGAGAGAGAGAGAGAGAGAGAGCCATGTAAGTGTGAGATATATCTACAGAATGATGTGAAGTTGACATTGGTAGTACAACTGAAGACATAATTGCAACATTGAAGACATTGTGTATTCTATCAAAGCACTCTGATGGAAATAATTAAAAAATGGTCATTAGGGATCACCATTTGCAAAGAGAAATTAGGCCTCTTAAGCCAAATAAGACCATCAAGATGTGGTGCAGCTGTGTATTCTTTGATGTGCCCTCAAGATGAAGATGCCGCAAATGTTCAGTAAACTAGTTGACTTTCTGCCCTTGCTGCTCTCTGCTTCCCAAACCAGACCTGCATCACTTATCTCACCTTCTGGAAGAGCTTAAATGACCTCATCACATCCAGACTTGGATCCTTCTAACCTACCCTACAAAGTCCTGGATCATTCTCCCTACCTACACAAACTATCTTATATGTACATTCAAGGTTCTCTTCATGTTCTATCTCCAATCTACCATGCTGGCCTTCTCCACTGTTGCCTGGATAGCCTGAATTTCAACCAAAAATATTTAATTAACTCTTTAGGACATGCTCTGCATTGCATCTGTCATCCTACCACATTCTTGCCAAAATGCTCCCTTCCCCTAGAATGCCCACCCAGCTCCATCTTTCTTTAGAATTGGTGTATGTTTGGTAAAGGGAGGAGACCTCACCTTGCCTATCCTCCTAGTCTGTCCAAAATGCATTTATTAGGGGTTTTTCCCCCCTCCTTCATGGAATATTCCAAAATTATTTCTTGAGTCAGTATTCCAGAAGCAGATAAGGTAGGGGTTGGGAATGTGGGCTCTTTCCTGGACAAGCCACTCAACACTTCTCTAAGCCTCCTCATCTGTAAAATGGAGATAATTAGGGGCTGGAGTTGTGGCTCTGTGGTACAGCACTTGCCTGGCATGTGTGAGGCCCTGGGTTCAATCCTCAGCACCTCATAAAAATAAACAAATAAAAGATGTGTTTACAACTAAAAAATATTTTTAAAATGGAGATAATTATGCATTCCTATAAAGACTGTTATGAGGACTAAATTAAGTAATGTACTTAAGCCACCAACCCAAGGCTTCACACACTTAATACATACAAATAGTATTAATATTATGTATTTCAGGGCTGGGGTTGTGGCTCAGTTGGTAGAGCATTTGTCTTGCATGTGTGAGGCACTGGGTTCAATCCTTAGCACAACATAAAAACAAATAAATAAAATAAAGGTATTGTGTCTGTCTATGACTAAAAAATATATTTAAAAAATATTATGTATTCCATTTTTTCTTATAGTACTTTAGTATTAGTACAATGTATTCCATTTTATGTCCATGGTACTTCAAAGGCCAAAAGTTATTGATCAAAAAAAAAAATGATTACTCCAAATCATCAAGAGAAATTTAGCTAAWAAGGAATGTAACTTAAGATGCAAGGAAGCATATTTAATATATTTATAAAGACTCCCCAGAATTTATTTATTTATGCCAAGGATTGCACACAAGGCCTCATACATGCTTAGAATGCTCTCTACCACTGAGCTAGACTTGCAGCCACTGGAATATTTTTTTGTTTTAAATAGCCCAGTACTAAACCATCCCTTAAATCTGTTTGTTGGTGTGTGCTTATTTGTAATAACCCAGCACATAAAATGCTCAGTTATCTGGGAATAACTTGATCTATATTATAAAATAACTAGGTATTAAATGATACATAAGTAAGAGGGGTGTGAGAGGGTATACACACACACACACACTTTTTTTCCTTCCCCCTTAATTTTGCAGTGATTAACACTTTTTTCCTACGTGGGGACCAAAAGTTAGTTAAAGGCTTTAGTAATCAGAGGTATGTAACTGCCCTGAAGGCAAAGGACAAGTAGGGACCCAAGTCATTGGCAATCTATGGGCCTCTCTTAGAGATCTGCATAATGCCCATATTCATTCTTCTTTTACTAATTTTTTTTTCAATTTTTTTTCTTTTCTTTTTTTTAATATTTACTTTTTAGGTATAGATGGACACAACACAATGCTTTTAAATAGCCCAGTACTAAACCATCCCTTAAGTCTGTTTGTTGGTGTGTGTTTATTTGTAATAACCCAGCACATAAAATGCTCAGTTATCTGGGAATAACTCGATCTATATTATAAAATAACTAAGTATTAAGTGATACGTAAGTGAGAGGGGTGTGAGAGGGTACACACACACACACTTTTTTCTTTCTCCCTTAATTTTGCAGTGATTAACACTTTTTTCCTACGTGGGGAACAAAAGTTAGTTAAAGGCTTTAGTAATCAGAGGTATGTGACTGCCCTGAAGGCAAAGGACAAGTAGGGACTCAAGTCATTGGCAATCTATGGGCCTCTCTTAGAGATCTGCGTAATGCCCATATTCATTCTTCTTTTACTAACTTTTTTTTCAATTTTTTTCTTTTCTTTCTTTTTTTAAGAGAGAGAGAGAGAGAGAGAGGGAGGGAGGGAGAGAGAGAATTTTTTTAATATTTATTTTTTAGTTTTCGGCAGATACAACATCTTTGTTGGTATGTGGTGCTGAGGATAGAACCCGGGCCGCACGCATGCCAGGCGAGCGCACTACCGCTTGAGCCACATCCCCAGCCCCTTCTTTTCTTTTTTTTAATATTTATTTTTTAGGTATAGATGGACACAACACAATGCCTTTATTTTTATGTGGTGCTGAGGATCCAACCCGGGTCCCGCCAGTGCTAGGAGAGCTCTCTACCACTGAGACACAATCCCAGCCTCTCAATTTTTTTTTTTTTTTTTTTTTTTTAGTTGTAGATGGACACAATATCTTTATTTATGTGGTGCTGAGGAGCAAACCCAGTGCCTCACATGTGCGAGGCAAGTGATCTACCACTGAGCCACAACCCCAGCTCCCCCATATTCACTCTTCAAGAAACTTTTAAGTGATGCAATTAAATGAATACATAGACATTTACTGACATTGATAACCACAGAAATAAATTCCCCAAGCAGATGACGTGTCTAGCTTGGCAATGCAGGAGGCACCACACCTGAGTGAGTTACACTGACTCAGAATAGTATGTTAAGTAAGTGAAAGCCTGAATCTGCAACAGGTCATTTTTCTCACTGGGTCACAAACTGTAAAACGAGAGTGAAGCTGGAGTTGGGAGTGACTACAGAAAATKATAGCAGCCACAAGCACAGACACACCTTTGAACCTATGACTAGAAGTTTGAAACTGCTCCTCTATCAACCATGGCGACTGACTTGGGGAACAGTCGCACTCATGGACAAGGAACCTGACCCTCGTTTGGCTTGGCTTCTAAATACCGTCCCAAAATAAACGAGTTAATGAAGTAGGGTCGCAGGTTTTTTAAACAACCTGATGTAAGGGATCCCCTCCATTCTTAGCCGATCTCAGGGTCCCTGGGATTGGACTCCATTATCTCCCTTCCCAGCACACGCCCGGTCCGCGCAGGGCCGGCCGAATGGGGTTCGAATGCCTTAGGGAGTCCCGGGATCCGTTCCCCCGGGCCCGGACGCGAGAGGAGGCCCTGTGCCCACCTTGGTACTAGGATCCGGGTCGGAACAGCAACTGAGGGCGACCTCGTCAGTGAGGCCGGTCGCGGGCTGCGGTTCTGCCATGGCTGCGCTGCAATATCACCGACGATGAACCCCGGGAACCGAGGGCCACCAACACCCTCTTACCCAGCCTCTGAGCAGCCTCCGCTAGAGACAGCGCGACGGCGCCGCTGGGAGGTGGTCGCAGACTTCAGCCAATCGCCGCGCGGAGAGCTGTGGGCTATCTTCTGATTGGGTCTCTGTGAGTCAGAGCCTCCGACCACAGGGCTCTGTGCCTAGAGACTACAACTCCCAAGGTGCAGTGCGCAGGACGGAGGCCCGCTCTTAAAGCGGGGGTTGGGGGAAAATCTGCTGCTGGCAGGCAGCGATTGTATTACAAATGACCTAATTTTGCTTCTGTTTAGTTATGAAAGTTCGGTAACCCTCTCTTCGTCAGGGCGGCAATTTTATAGAAAATAGGGATCTGATGTAAAGTGAGAATTGGGAGTTATTCTTTTTAAATTGTAAAGATCAGAAGTTTATTTTCTCAATTTAAGCAGACCAGGATAAGTAAAAAACTCTGGTTTAGTGGAAAAAACCCATGTTCAAGTTTTGGACCCATTCTATTTTAGTTCTAGAAGCTTGTAATAATTATTGATCCTCCCTGAGCTTCCTGATACTGAAAGCCATGAGCTTTTAAATAGGGGGTACAAATGCCAAACTCCACTTGTGCCAGAAGTCAATTCACATCCACGTGGTAGCTTTGAGAGAGCAGTTTTTTTTTAATTGATTTTATTTTTTTGAATACACGACAGCGGAATGCATTACAATTCTTATTACACATACAGTGCACATTTTTTCATATCTTTATATGTAAAGTATGTGAGAAAGCAGTTTTGTAGATTTGTTGGTGCCAACTCCCAACTCAGGATTTCTTCATGCCTGTGGACAGTAAGCTGTAACTTGGCTGAAGAAAAGAATGTCTAGCTTCCCCAGAGGCTAGGGAGGGGGAAAGGGAGGAGAAAAGGTGTGTATTGGGGTGTCTGTTTTAAAATAAGCTGTCAGTGGTTGAACAGCAAGATTTATATTTTAAGTATTATTAGACTCCTGTTATATCTTGAAGGATTTGATGAGAATTAAATGAGATAGAGGAGTCATGATTTGACTATGTGGGACTCTATTGGCACCCCCTCCTCCAAAGAAAATCTTAATTAAGCTTCTCCAGAAATCTTTACCATAATTGATTTTAAGACTACGAGCAAAAGAGTCTGTACAAAAGAGTTCAATGTATTCCGATTTTCCTGTTGCTCTATTTTTACGAGGCCTTGAGCTGGAGTTTCACAGAGCTATCTACATTTCAAGAAGTTTCCAGTTGGGCTCCATGGTAGTAGCTGGCAGAGGGAGGAGAGAAAAGGGAGAAGAAGCTATCCCCTCCTCATTGAAGAGTTAACTTGTGAAAGGAAAGTGACCACAACACTCTTGGAGGGACCAAGAGATCTTTATTGCACAGTGAGAAAGAAGAGGAGAGAGAGAGAGAGAGAGAGACCAGCAGGAGAAGGTTTTTATAGCCCTCTGCTGTGCTGCCTAAATCTAATAGGGTCTTTGGGTTTACAAGCTGCCTTGTTGGCATAAGGGGGGTTAAGTGTTCAGCCTTGGGGGGGGGCAGTTTTGAGTGTTCATCCTTGAGAACAAGACAGAGGAGGGTTTGAGTGCCCAGGTTATCCTGCAGCTAACATTCATTCAGCCTGCCCTGCATCTAACCACTTGCCCAGAACAGTGAAAGAAAAAGCTGCTTTTATGTGACTTCTGCAGTCTGTGAACTTCTGAGCCCCTCTCCTCAATGCTGRGTATAAAATTTTGAAACTATCTGAACTCCAGATTCATGGATTAATTGGTTACAGCAAAAGCTGTACCCTCTGAACCTGGCTGCAGCCAAATAAAACTGTTTCCTGCTATCTTTGGTGCYCTACCTCATCTGTCCCCTACAACAAGACCCTGAAATATATTTGTTTGGCATATTTTGAGTATGTCAGAGAAACTGTATACCTCTGGAATACAGGCATGGCTTTGAAAGGCTCCCCTTTCATAGGAGAAATTAYGTCAGTAAAGAAAATCTAAATTAATGACAACTGTCAGCAGACAAACACGATTGTCTATCTGATACCCCTTTTCTACATAGAAAGATCTTTTCACAGTCAGAGACTGGAGTCTGACATCAGCCCAGATACAAATTTCTAATAGGTGACTATTGCTGGCAGACTTCAAATAACAAGACAGTCCTTGTTCCCTGTGTATCTCCTCCCCTCCACTTTTCACACTTTGTCACCTCTTTACTTCCCACCAGAACCCATGTCCCTMTTCCCCATTTCTTTGTTTTTATCTTAGAAACTTAAATTTCCAAGCTCTTCTTGGAGACTCATATTTTGTGTGTGACTCCCATGCTAAGATTTTTCTGTGAACATTAATAAACATACATGTTCTTTTTCCTATTGATCTATTGTCAATTTATTTCATAGATTTCAATGATAGAAACTTTAGAAAAAAAAGAATAAGTTTTAAACTTCCCCACACCTTCTTTTAATCCAAATTTCCATAACCTGCAATGCTTTTTACATTAATTTTGCTAACACACATATATAATGTATTTTTTTCTTCTTTTTTGAGACAAGTCTCTCCATGTTGCCCAGGCTTGCCTCCATATCCTGGGCTCAAGGAATCCTCTCTCCTTAGCCTCCCAAGCAGTTGGAGTTACATCTGCTAGCCATCACTCCCAGCTAAGACATATATATTGATAGTGCTCACTGGAAGCCTTAGTCTTCGCTTTGTCTTCCATACTTTGGCTCATAATAGATGTTCAATAAGTATTTCTACTTGCTAAAAGACAAAATGGTAACAATTGGTACAAATGTAATGCAGAAAAAGGGCTTTATAGCAATAGGTGAATGAAGAATAAGCTTTGACAGATTTTATATGAATAAGAGGATCTATGTAAATATGTAAGAATATAGATGGATGTCAAGATTTTGGTTGCAAGGGGCTGGGCAAAATGGGAATTTATTGGCTTACATAACCAAAATTAAGAAGGGCAGTGATGCATATGACACTAGTCACCTGACTGCCACCAACATATTTTCATTTCTCATCTTCTTTCTGCTTCTCATCTTCTTTTTTTTCTTTCTTTTTTTTTTTTGCATTATGACAGTTTATTTTGAAGGTCATTTTTTAAACAAAGTTAAAGATAATCTGAGAAAATATTGCATCGAATACACTCATTAAATAAGTATGGTGATTAAATCAAAATAAGGGACATATGTTTTCTTCCATAACTCTGGAAATAAATTCTGTTGTCCTGAAGATTCTTATACTTCCAAAAAAGGGGAAAATCATGGCAATTAAAGCTGCCTCTTAATCATGTAAAATCTACAGTAGCAACCATATTTTTCTGCTCTTCCCAATAAGTCAGTTCTTCAAATTATGCCTTGTTTTTTAAAAGATAGGATGCTAGAAATTCAATGGGATTTGGTGGTCTTTCCTTTGCAAGCACAGCAAGTCCCTGTAATAAGATAGGCACAACCGTCTGATCCAGGTAGGCATGAGTTGGAGAGTTGGCAAAGACTGTAAATCCACCTTCTGTTTTGATGACTTTTCTGCCTTCATCTTCTCGTTTCCTACTATCATCTCAACATTGTCCGTCAGATAGTACTCAGAGTGAGGGTTTTCTGCAACCTGCATCTGTCCTTCCAGCATCTGCTCTGGCTCCATGGTGGACCCTGCAAAGAGCTCAAACTGTTGTTTCCTAAAAGGTCTGCACCGCACCACCAACTACCAGCTCAAACCACTCCAGCTGTAAGTGACAAATGTCGAATGTCGCATGACTCTCAACTTCATTTTTTTCAAGACACACTATCTCCACAAATCAGGTAACTCGCAGCCTCTCAGTGGGAGAGCAAGTGAACCTCTTCCATGAATTCCAGTTTAATAACATCCAAGAAGGAGCAGGATTGATCTGGCTGAGGCCCTGTGCTTCCTTCTGTGATGAAGGAACTGTTATTGGCAGCCTGGATTAGGACTGACTGGCTGAAACTGTCCACGGCAAAAAGATGGGCAAGATAAAAACTTCAACAGAAATTTGGTGCATGCCTACTATTAAATTACTGAGTGTATTTCATCAAAATTCAGTGGAGTAGGACTAAAGAACTTCAACATGGAGATAGGCCTGAAATCTATTAGTCTCAGGAATTGAGACAATACACAAACCCTCCATACATTGTGCATTACCACCCAATTATTGAAAAAACACCTCAAATTTTTTCCCCTCTAACTCCTTTAGTGACCTTCTCAGAATATGCGAAGGATAACACATATAAATGGTTAGGAAGATTCCATATCATAAATATAAATTTACAAATTAATCCATTAATGTAATACAATTCCAATAAACATCCTGAAAGAATTTTTCATTAAACTGAAATAATCTGGTCTAGATTCTATTTTTAAAGTTCAAACTAGGCAAGGCGTACTGAAGAATAATTAAGTAGGGAAACACACAGTACYAGATAACAAGAGTTAGTATAAAGCTGAATTAATTAAGACAGTATGGTAAGGACACTGTTATAGCCAAATACATGGAAATTGTAGTAGACAGCTGAGAATCTTCACCTCTTGATATTCAGACTTTTGTTTAATTCCCTCTGCTTGAGTATGAATGGGATTTAGTGACTCACTTAATATATAGAATAATATGACAGAAGAGATGGTATGTCACTTCTGAGATTTTAAAAGGTTGTGATTCTTGTGTTAGGTGCTCTCTTTGTTTTTCTGTTATATCTCCCAAAGGATAAGCAAGTGATCACTTTGTGAGCAATGCTGTGGAGAGATCCAGTGGCAGGGACTGATGTCTCTAGTCCATGGCCAGTGAGGACAGTCCTGCCAGCAGTCACCAGTTAACTTGGAAATGGGTCCTCCCCAAAAGAACTTCGAGAAGACTGTTGCTTCTGTTGGCCCCTTAATTTTGGCCTTGAAAGACACCCCAGCTAGACCTTTCTATCTGGTCTGTGAGATAATATGTGTTATTTTCAGCTACTAAATTTTGGGGTAATTTGTTGTGCAGCAATAGACAACATTCAAAACTTGACATATATCAAAGGTAGCACTGAAGATAGGGAGAAGAGAAGAGATGAATATT